CACCAAAATTTGACGGTACTCGGCCGTTCCTATACGCCAAAATAATGTAGTGAATGCACGGTTCAAGAAAAACATTTTGGGTCAAGTTTAAATTTATAAAAACCACTACTACCACTACTACTAATGTAGCAAGAGTGAGTACGGATCGTCCCAAAGGATTAGAGGGCTACTAGTAATGGAAACAATGCTTAGGGTTAGTAGGTCGAGTGATCAAAGGTAGATTGTTTGGTTGATTAAACTACAATTAAGATTAAGCAAGTTCAATGTAAAATAAGTAATTAAAGGATAGAGAAAACAAGAGAGAGGGGTCTTGGGACTTAGAGATCACCACTAAGCATCACTTTTCTCTACACTCAATTCACAATTAATGAGGGAGAAAACATATGTTACAACGATAGTGAGTGTGTGTGGTTGTTTTATCAAGCATGGATGACCAATTAAGTATATACTATCTAAACAACATAATAAATAGCACAATACATCAAACCAAGTCATTAATCCTTCTTTAAGCTCACAATCCAAACACATCACATAATTAGATAAATATACTACTTGCATTCATAAGTATGAAACATCAAACAACAAGCATGGATTGTCCTCCCATTTAACAACTAAGGTAACTACACTACATCTAAGTTAATGACATGAAAATTAAACTAATTAAACTAAAGGAGAGGCACAATCCATCAAAAAATAAGTATGAACCATCAAATAAACCACAAGAGCATTCTATTAAGCACTATGTCTTGACAATCTTTAGATCTATAACATCAACACATATAGACATGCATCAACAACACAAGAGATAGAGATAAACACATGAACATTTATTCTAGCATACATAGACATATAGATAGAATGAAATGATCAATTGGAAGAATTAAACAACACAAATCATTGAATAAATAAGATATATGTATATAAATATGTCAAAACATGTATTACAACACAAATCCCCTCAAAAATACATAAATCAAGGTAAAGAAAGCATACTTAGGGCTAACTCTAGCCCCAAGAGGATGTCTAGCCACTCATGAATGGTGTCCTCCAACCCTCAAGGGCTATCTCCATGGTAGAAGTGTTCTCCTTCTTAAGGAAGATAGAAAACCTCTCAAGAATGTGTCTCTAGCCTCCTCTTCTCTTTTCTTCCTCTCTAAGAATTGTATCTATCCACTCTAAAAAGTATATCCAAGACTATGTGTAAAAGTGGCTCATAATCCTTATATATGTAGCTCAAATGTCACACCCAATGGTCTAGACTCGTACACAAGGGCTCTCCAATGATTGCACAATGAGAGACTTTTAATGAGCTGGAAATATATTTTTTTCAAACTTAAGGAAATTCGATCAATCGAACTATGTTGAGAACGATCGAACATGGATGAGATCTATCAAACTTTGGCTGGATCGATCCTCCCATGGCGGCGCTGTCACGCCCCAACAATTCCAATAAAATCCTTGATTTATACAAATTAGATACATCAAAATACACCCAGAATCACAAAAAAAAAAAAAAAAAAAAAAAAAAAAAAAAAATGCCCTCTTTTTATACAAAATCAATTTCCTCAAATATACAAAAAAATTCTCCAAATAAAAAAATAAATCCTCCACACCGACTCTTCATCCTAAGCCCGTCTCTAGCCATCCCTATTCATCCTCGGTACCTGAAACTGAAGGGTGGTGAGACAAAAAGTCCCAGTAGGAAAAATCATAACAAGAATTTCATGGAGGTTTAATAAAACAGCTTTACAAAATAAACATACAGGTGAGTATAAACAAAATAAATATGCATTTAATCAAAACATTTCATAAAACATTTAATCAAAACCTCCCCATGCCATTCAAGATATAGAGAACCCTACACTGAAAAAGATTAATTCCTCACTGGATCACCAAGTTTCCACGCTTCCGCTACGCCCTCTGCAACTCTCTGTTTTTCTCTCCGCTCACTCTATCTGCAAACTCTTTAATTTTCTATCTCCACTTGTTCACCAAAGTTATAAACTGATACTGATATTTAAAGGCCAAATCCACCGACTCCAAATTAGTGTACACCATACGCCTCCATCAACATCATTTCAAATACCTTCTTTAGACAAGCACACGTGTATAAATTAAGCCCAAGTCAAAAGGTGGTCTACCTAAACCCATCATTTCTATCTTCATCATTATAGCAACAAATCAGCCACGTAAAGAACTCAAAGAAAAAAGGAAATTTAACCAAAATAAAATCTTCGGTGGGCCCCGCCCCACCAATTCCGTCCACACCATACTGCCCCTTTTTCCATCTGATATATATATATATGTCTTATACAATGTACAAATCAAGTCCATCTCTTGACACAAATCCTAGTGGGTCCCAAAAACAAGAAAAAGCCATCATCACATTTCTCCTTCACTTTTCCATTAAACTGACCTGCTTTCTCTTTTCTTACTGCATTTCCTTATCTCTTCCCCACGTGTTCAATTCAAAGTAAACAAAAGCTTTCTCCAAAAAAAAAAAAAAAAAAACAATTAATGAGACATGCACTCACATTTCCTTCTCATCTCTCTCTCTCACACACTCACATATATATATAAATAAAACAAAAACAAAAACCCACTCATTTTAATAAATAAATAATTAATTCAAACAATCTAAAAATCATAAAATAAGTAAATTAAATTTTTTTTTTTAAAAAATCGGGTCATCACAGGCGCCTTTTTGGATAAGGACAGATCTGAGATATTTTGGGGAAAGAGACAAAAGTGGTAGGTAGGGTGGTACAACAGGATAAGATGGAATCTTTTCGATCGATCTAAGTATTGTTGGATCGATCGAACTTTGTGGGATCTTTGGATAAGGACAACAAGGCTTGGATCCATCTTGGAAAGTTTAAATCGATAAACTTTCGATCGATCGAAGTATTCTTGAGATCGATCGAACATGCTGATTTCCACACTTTGCTTCATTCTGCTTCCACTTTGCTCATTTCTTCCATCCAGCTTGAGTTAGCTTCTTTTAAGCTCTTATTTGACTGAATTAGCTTATTTTGGGGATAAGCACCTAAAAAGGACAATAACATGAAATTAGTCTAAAACGGAAAATTAAGATAGATAAAGGTCCTAAAATACCTAAGCTTAAGGGCTTTAAATGCGCACTTTTCAGCGCTCATCAATTAACTAATAAAGTTAAGTCCTACTTATTTTCCTGTCAGGTCAACAGAAAAGTTAGATGACATATTATTAAAATAATATTTGGATAGGTTATTTTGATGGTTGGGTAGAACGGATTTTACATATATAATTATATGTCATGATATGAGCTTAAGTCTCAGGATCAGTGGTTAGAGTGCGTATATTGCCAGGGATGTGTAGCTGGATATAATGTAGTTGTGTACCCTGGTAGGTCTAGGTACTCATGCCCACTATATGTGCGTTTTGCATGTTGCCAACTATTCAGGTTGAGACAACTCTATAGTCTAGTGAGGTTCATTTAGTGTGTATATATCTATATACAGACTATTTAGTTATTGTTGAATTAATTAGGATGTGTACGTGTATCGGGTCTCTGTTTGGGATGTAGTAGATTAGAACTTGTTTGTGAGTTTGACCCACCATTATTTTTCAGGTGTTCGTCAGTTCCGGTCTTAGAGATTGTTCGTACTGAGCAGAGACAGTCATTCACTCTTCCGACTCTACGTAGGACTCTTCCTCATGTTTTACTTATTAGTTTTATTTCAGTTAAGATATTATTAGGGGTCCACAGTATGGATTCCCGAGTTGTAGTTTAATTAATTATTAGTATCCGAGGATTGGAGGATTTTATTATGAAATTTTTAATTATTATGTAGTTAAGGATTTTTTTAAAATAAGGACTTATTATTTAGTTCTCTTCAACTTATTATTTATTTATTCCTTTATTATTCTTTTTGTATTCAAATGCTTGTTTAAATATTAATTGTTTGATATCCCTCGGATTTGTGCTCAGACTTTATCACCCGTGACTCTAGAATCGAGAGGTGTCACAGGGGGGTAGAGTTGGTGACCCTGAAAGAGGTCCGAGCCCTCTGTGCTAAAGGGAGGTCACTCTGATCAAGACCACCTTCAGGCATTGGTCTTTTCCCCAAACTCCTCTCTGAAACGCCAGCCTGGGCTGGAGGAAATCCTCCATTGTTTTGAGAAGAACCCCTAACATCCTGAGTATCATCTGGGGAAGTTTCAGTCAGAATGTCAGAGGGTTCATTGTTTGGCACGATAGGCTGAACTTTAATAGAGGTGGACGCAGAGGGCCTAATGGTTGGATGCTCAGTAACTTGAGCCAAAATCGGGGCAGCTGAGGTTGCCGTTGTGGTGACTGGTGCAGCTGAAGGAGTGGGAGCAGAACGTCTCCTCCTACTGAGAAAAGGAATCTGGATATTCTCTATCGTAGATCCAAGGAGGGATATGTCATAGAGATTGTCAGAGATGAGCAAGTCAGTGGCTAAGGGGATGTTGTTCAAAACTCTTTCCTTCAAAATGTCAAGCCTGTCCCTGCAAATGCTGTAAACCAATTCTCCATGAGGAATCTGAAGGCAGCTACAAAGAAAAGTGCAAAAACTAGGAAAGCAAGTTTCACAATGACAATTGGCTAAATGTTTTTTAGGTTTCTTGTATTAAGGAACAGAGCACTCTCCAAAAGTGGTTGGGATGGGGAAAGTCTGAGAGAATGGGGTTCGCCAATTCCCACTGACCCCAATTAGGTTTTGCCTCCAACCCTTTTCGAAAGATAGCTTGTCCATATAGATAGATCGTTTCTCGATGGGAAAAAAGTGGAAATACCTTTCGCTATTTTTATTTTTTGAAACTCGGTAGCAGAGGAAAAGGTCTATGGTGTCTAATTCAAGATTCCTATCACGGTTTAAAATCAAAATGACCGATATTACCCTAAGGAAGTTAGGGTTAACCTGAAGGGGAGTAAGCCCTAATTTATTGAAGACATAGCAGAAGAACAGGTGTAAAGGAAATCTAATCACACTCAAATGACGAACCAAGAAAAGAATCTCCCCAAGAAGGAGACCTTCGCCGGAACTCTCATCCAGACCCGTGGGGTAAACCCTAAGGGAGACATCGTTGGGGATGTTATTCTTCAAATGAATAGCATCCAAATCAGGAGGAGCCATTTAAAAAGAAAGGGGGAAAAGAGGTCTCTAAGGGTAAAGTTCTGTTTTTTTTAATAAAGAGTAGCAAGAGAAGGGAACTAACCTTGGAAATAGAGTTTGCGAGGCACCCAGTAACAAAGCAAAAATCGGATCGCAAAGGTAAAAGCTCGCCGGAGAAAGCAAATGAGGCCCGCCGGAGAATACAGGTAGGAGACAAAAGTGAAAAAGCTTGAAGAAAGACAAAAAGTGACTGACTGGGGTTTTTTAAATGAAAACGACTCGACAACTGGGAAGCTACAGTAATAATGGTGCAGCAGATCTTGAAGTACGATCCTCTGAACCAACCACTCGCTTACCCACATCATCACTCCGAGCCGTCATGCCCTGATTGTGTCTTTTCGATAATCCCACCCTAATTAATTAGGGAGAGATTATGGGGGCAAATGAGGATACGAAAGGTGACTTGGGCCGGATACGATTCAAACCGTTGAGAACAGGTTGGGCGAGAGCAACCACCCCGAACCAAGTATTCATTAACCAGGCCCAGGACTAGGGAATCAAGCTGAAAGCCCGACTCCAGAAAGAGGAAATTGAGCCCATGACCAAGAAGGGCCTAGGCGATCGGCCCAGTGTAAGAAGTTAGTTAGGAAGCTTCTAGAAGATCTGTAACAGCCTATAAATAGACTGAAAATAGAGGGAAAAGGGGTTGGAAAATATTTGAAGTGTAGGGATACTCCTTCCGAATTGAGAGGGAAAAATTCTTGCATCTTCACTCTCGTAGTAGTGTTAATTAGCAGGTGATACCACGTCATCTATACTTTTGGCGCATTAAAATTTTTCTTGGACAAATCATACCATTTGGGCTAATTCCATTAGAGTTACATGCCAGTCTGTCTGATCCTTATATATGAGATTCAATTTGTAATAATGTTGCATATTTACATTGGGTAATGACTCTTTTTACAGGTAACCAATGTTATTATTCATGGTCTAGTGATTCACCATATTCGACCACACACACCTGGTGCTGTAATGGGTCCAGGCAAAAAGATGGGGACCATGGATCGCATAGATGGAGATGCAATCAGGTTGGTTACATCTTCAAAGGTATGGATAGACCACAACACACTATTCGAGTGTGAGGATGGTCTGATCGATGTCACTCGTGGTTCCACAGGGATCACCATCTCAAACAACTGGTTCAGAAACCACAAGAAGGTCATGCTTTTGGGTCATCATGATGGATTCTTGAGGAACAAGGACATGAAGGTCACTGTGGTATTCAACCATTTTGGTCCCAACTGTAAACAAAGGATGCCAAGGTACATTTTATATGTCAGAGGAAATTCTTGTGATTGAACCATGACCAATAAATCAAAGCTATAAGTGTGTGTGTGTCCCAAAAATCTCATGATCATATGGAAAATTAATTTGCAGGGTTCGTCATGGTTATGCGCATGTAGTGGACAATCTCTACCAAGGATGGGGATTGTATGCAATTGGAGGAAGCGTGAATCCTAGCGTAAAGAGTGAAGCAAACCTTTTTATCGCACCAAACTCCCGGAACAAAGAGGTAAAAAAATAAATGGTCTGCTTGGTTTAGTTTTGTAAGAACAGTTTTTCGTTTTGAAAACAAAAGAAACAGTACAAAATTTTGTTGGTTTCTGAAAAGCGTTGTCTGAAATGGGTATTTTTTAAATTCTTGATAATTGTGTTCAGAAAACTGAACCAAACAAAACATTAACATAATTTTTTAGAGGCGCCTGTGATTAAGTTCAATGACATTTGGGGTGAACTTATTGTGAAATTGATGATGTTGAGTGAAGATAACAGAAGATATAATAATTAGCAGCAGCTATATATAGAGATGCAAAAAACATGCAGCAGTCAAGCTGGATTTTATACTTTAAGTTTGCACTTACAGAGTTAATAAGTTTTTGTACTTTTATTCATAACTCTAATGCTTAGTACATTATATATATATGTACTAAGCATTAGAGTTATGAATAAAAGTACAAAAACTTGAACTCTAGAATACATCGATATATATAGCTTCTTCACTGCAGGCTTACTTTTGGTTTTGTCATCTTGATTGAGGTCTATCATTCTGTTGTAATAAATGTCAACAAAGCATGAAGTAAATTTTATTTATATATATATTTTTTTTCTGAAAAATGATTTGACTCCACTAGGATATGGATTGCTTTCAATAGTGACTCGAAATGAATTGGGATCCTCTGTTGTACTCCATTGTTGCTGTACAACAGAGGATTTAGGCTCTGCTCGAACGTACCTTCGAAGCACAAATGGATGAAACTTAAAACACCAAAAGGTTTCTCTTATATGGCCTCTGAAGAGAAGCTATGGCAATGTTGGTTTGGATTCTTTTTGTCAAGTTGATTTTGAAGATTTTTTGTAAGAACAATGAGCAGTGCACTAGTATACTCAGTGTCACTTGGCTCACATTGTATGCTTTCATCTATACAACTGTGTGATTTAATTAAAGTGCATCAATTGTCTTGTTTCTTTTTGTTTTGCTCCCTATAGATTGTGTGTGTGTGTGTGTGTGTGTGTGTGTGTTTTGATAGTTGAGTCACATAGCCCTTTGTGATCTACACATCATCTCAGGAATCAATCAAAACTGTTTCCACGGTTCAAATCTCACACCAAGCCCCAATCTAATCATGCAAAAGGTCCTCTAAAAAGCTGATGAGAAAAGAGAACTTTATATACAAAAAGTCCATGCACAAGATGGATTGGCATCCACAAGAAATATGCTTAAAATTGAAATAAAGCCGAATCGATTTATTTTATTGATGAAATATTAATTATTCCACATAAACATAAATAAAAGTACCTAATGCACAGCTTTAGTGCATATTTGCTTATTTTGAGTGCTTGATAGATCATGAACTTTTTCTTACCCAAGCTTAATATTATCTACCCAAAGAATATGCATCTTGGTGCATTAAATCTATACTGATGGGTGATCTTGTGGATCGAAAATGCGATTGTGGCAGGTTTTGTCACAAGGGTAAGGGCAATCTATCTTTTGGAACGAACTCCGGTCATAATACCAGTCTCCAACTGCCTTTGCAATTGACTGCAGAACACATTTTTCAAACAAAGACGAAATTAATAAACAGAAAAGAGGGTGAAAACTGAAGAGAAAGCTTAATATATAGCATACATATATTATAACTCGAAAACAAAATAACTTTCATAAATGTGATAAAAGTAGTCACTTACAATACCACCCAGTGTGGGAGAATCACTCCTCAACCAGGTCTCCTGCGTTTCAGTTTGGCAGTGGGCGTAACAAGAGTTGATAAAGAGTCCTCTGGATGTAGAGCCGCCCAATCCAGACACTGCATTTAAAAATTCCAACCTGAAAGCTGAAAATAAATGCCAAACTAATATGTGAGATCTCCAAGACCTGCTATGGTAGAAGGGGAACAGAAATTGCATTTTTCATATTTCTTTTATTTTTCCCTCTAAATGACTATTCATATTTCATCCGTTATAATGCTCACAGAAGTAACAAATAGGACCTTTCGAAAACTAAATATTAATTCCAGATATTATATATATATATATATATATATATTTGTTTCCGTTATGAAAGTTAAGGCAATTTGCTTGATACCCTGGAAACTATAATTATCGAGAAGTACTAAAAATCAGAGAACAATCCAATCCAATACTCTAAAAAAAATAGAATGAACAGAGCGAAGGATGCCAAAGAGTCTACGATAGTGACCTTGCATGGTGTTTAGTTGAGTAGTTGAGCATTTCTCTATATCAAGCTTGCAGTTATGCCAGATGCCGTGTGGATCAGCAACACCCGGTGCTAAAATGTTCTTTATCTGAATAAGTATAACAGATCAGAGAATTAGTAAAAACTGTAGTGGACAACAGATCAAAAACTGGAGGGAAAGAGAACCACATCATGATGTTCTTCATATGTATTATAACCACTTTGTGCAATTTGAATTGTTTAAGGAATTCTCATTGTCCTCGCAAATTTTTTTAAACAGAAAATTTTGAATAGTTACAGTTCACATCCCCAACAACATTGTATAGTAATAGTGATAGTAGTTACTTTTCAGTTTTTCTTTTCTTCCACCCTTCTACACAGGAAAGCATAACACAAGTTGTTTATGGAACATAGTAAGAAAATAAGATACTTTGCAGAACTCCCCTCCACAAACAAATAAAAAGTTCTAATAATGTGAGAATGCCTCTTCAAACTAGTCTAACTGGCCAGGAATCACATTTATAGACAACACGTTAAATAGATTAATCGAGCTTCAAAGGTATTAAACTGTTCATAATCAGTATTTGCAATTTGAGAATATTTTCACTCCAATATTCTGAGGAATTAAAATGGAAGCATGCCTTCAAGAGAAGTTTCCAGCAAATTCACATTCTTTTGGTTTGCAGAAAAAAATTCAATAATCCTCTCAATTCAAGGATAACAGCTTCCTTTATTTTTATTTTTTTTCGTTCTTTTTTTTATACTGGGGAATACTTCCTACAACAGAATGTATGTCAACATCTCTTTCATCTCATGTGGATAATATAAGTCCTGTATTCCTATTTCCTAATGATATCTTTCCACAACCGCAGGACACTGATATGACAAAACGAAGAAATAGTGATGTTAGGAATTTTTCCAAGTATTTAGAATATTTTTACCCCAAAAAAGAAGTATGTAGAATAATAAATATACCAATTACAATAGCACACTCATCTCCCAATTTAAGTTTGTTTATCAAATAAAGCCCTAGTATTATAACAAAATAACCTAGTAAAGGAATCAATAAACAAAACCAAAGAAAAAAAATAAAATTTGGACACAAATCCCAGATTCACCAGCAAGTACAATATCTCGAGGAAAGTTGCACAGATATATGAAAAAGGGAACACTTAATTAGCAAATTTTGTATAGATAACCAGAAATGAGCTAACCTGCCATGAATCATAGGCTGCATTTACTAGGAAAAGTGGAGTTGAAATTTGTTGCGCCATGTATTGAGGGAAAAAGCACTGCAATATTGTTTTGATGTAATGGTACACTTGAAATGGTGAAGGGTTAACATACTAAAAAAACACAAAAATGAAGCAAATCTTACCAAACCAGGTCTCAGTTTTGAAGTACAGGATTGGGGCAAATTCTTTGCTGATCCCTGCAACATCAATAAAGAATAAACCACTCAGAAATCGAATCTCCATTGAGTAGAACAAGGAAGAACCTTGACCTAATGACTTAAACTATTCGGCCCGACAAAGGAGAAAAGATCACCACGTAGAGGGCTTCATTGTTTTATTTATAAAAAAAAAGAGCATAAGAAAAAAGGACTACAAATTAGAGGTCATAAATGACAAAAGCACAGCTAATAAAATTAACAAAAATATCATTTTGTAGAAGATCACAAAAGTCATAGTACAAACATTATGTGTATGTGAGAGAGAGAGAGTACATGTGTTGCCACTACTTCATTATAGAAGCCTTCAATGTGTTGTGCTCCAGAAACATCCTTCCTGTTGCAGAGCACCATTGTTTACTTACACAAGAAAAACAACAATTTCACAGTTATTGCATAGTTTAAGAAATCCGGAAGTCTGGATAGATAGTCCTATTCGAGGACTTACGCGTTGATAAAAAAGCCAGCATCTGAAAGGCATTTCACTTTAGTGCCCATGGGTACTAGAGATCGAAAGTTATCACAATGCAATATGGAAGTCAAGCCACCAGCAGAACAGCCAGAGAGAATAGCCTGTTGTAATAAGTTTTCAGGAGTTACTAAGAACAAGTAGAAAGAGAGAGAGAGAGACGATGATGAATATCAGGTGGCTCATACGTTTTCAGCACTCTTCATTCCTTTTGCTAATAGATCCTCAATAACAGCAAGAAAAACCCGTGCACCTCTGTAGTGAAGATTCGTAGCCTGATAAAAACTGGCACATAATTAGAAGTCCACAGGAAATGTGAACTGAAACTAAGATATACATTCAAATTTGAATAACTTACAGGATTGACTGCTTCCACATCACCGGTAAATGATGCCCCATCACAGTACCTGACCTTGATTCTGTTCCAATTATAGAAGTCTGGATATTGAAATAGATTTTAGTTTCTTAATTAGGACACAAGCTTGAGAAAATACGAAATTCAAATGGCAGAATGAGAACCAGATGAATTGAGTTGCACCTGGATTAAATTTTGGCTTGTTGCTGAAAATCCCAGAAAAAGCAACTTGCTTCGCCATTTGTTTAGACGAACCTAGACGGGTGTTCTTACGCGCAAGACAAGTTGTCGCATTGTTACACCACCCTCCTCCCTTAAAATCCACAGAAAAAATTTATTAAGACAAAAAAATTCATATTCATAAAGAGAGAAAATATTCCTTGTTGAGTACTGACTACGCATCAGGCATTTGAAAATGAAAATCTCATAAATACCACATCAAAGTGCACAATAATAAAACTGCAATATTGGTGTAAGAATTATCATTTTTGTTGAGAACTGAAAATCATTACACTCCACTCCATTCTCTCGCTGATAAAAATGCAGAAAATTGGGGGTAGTGTTAGAACTATACGGGATTGAATAGTAGCTTATGATTCAATACTTTTATCCTTGGCATGTACGGCCTGACACAATGTTAGAATTCTAGTTCTTTCAGAGTTTGTCTCACAAGGCCTTCTACATGGGAAAAAAAATAAAGAAAAAGAATGCTGCACAGCTTATAACCGAAGGACCAACCTCGATGTGAACCAACCAATTATTTATTCCAGCTCCGAATCCCTTGTCAATATGGTATGCTGGTGGACTCCCATCCAAACAAACTGCTTCAACATGAGAATTTCAAGCACGTAAATAACAAAAATTGTTTAAAGAAGAAGATAAAAACAGTAAATTCAACTGGTGTCTTGTTAACTGAAATTTTCACCTGCTCCTTTTGCCACAGCGTTCTGAACGTAAGTTATACCAACAAAGAATCCTTCTGTTTTCAGAAAAATCAGTAGACAAAATAGTATGTAGAACCATTGGACTAAGCTTCTATTGGCCATTCTGCACATTAGAACAAGAATCGTTAAAATATAAATTTTTTGAAAGAGAAACAGAATACTAAGAGAGGGGGAAGCAGAGTATACCACTCCGAATCATCAATGATATTGACTAACGGCTAACCTACACATATAAATATAGGTACACAAACATATTATATACATATAGAATAGGATCAATTTACAACTTGTGTAAGAATTTTTCTTTTTCTATCCAGATGCTTGATTATATATTGTTATCTATTGGAAATAATATGATTTGGAAAGACTATGGAAGATTGGTTGGAGTGATCATCCATCGACTGACTACTAATAATTCCCGTTCACATCCATCACCCTATGTGTAGAAGCATCCTTTTGGGCTTGTATGTAGTGGTCGTATATGTTCTTGTTTTACTCTCTTAGATCTATACTTTTCTTTTTTGACCTCGTTTAAAGCTAATCTTAATTTGTTGTTTCCAACAGATTTAGAATAATTCAAAAGTGGTTTGACCATTTCTTGTGTTCTATGTCAGCTGTTGGGCATGTTGCTGGATTAGGCAAAGTCTAAGAGAGTTTTAGATGAAGCCCTTTTTTCAGGGACAGTTTCATCGCCAAACCTATATTGTTGTTCTTTCATTTCAATTAAGTTGCGCATTTCACAAGATTCTTGTGCACCAATTTAAAAAGAAGGCTCAAAAGATTTTGGAATATTGATAGTAGTGATTCATAGGACTGATTGCAATACAATTTCCATCAAATTAATATCAATGATTCATATTTAACACATGTTTTTCTATTGCTTACATGCTATATTATATGTGCACGGATACAGAATAACTTGTGAAAAATAATAGAGGAAAATAACTAAAACAGATGTAATTTATATAGTTTTCTCTCTTTAATTTTTAATTTTATATTGTGTGTTTGTCATACATAACAAATCTTAAGACACTCAATCAGCTGTACTTATGTGTATGATCAATCACGGAGCGTGTAACTCTAGCACCATCTCCTCCTCCTTCCACATGGGAGGTTGGGAGTCGTCAAGTGTATGTGTAACATTCCAATATCACAACAACAACAACAATAATAATACTTGTGATACGCAAAACTCTAATTTCAGTAGGGAAGCTATATATATCTCAAATGACTATGAATTGTGACAAGGATTACAAATATGACAAGGCCGTTTAATCTAACAGCTGGATTGTTAAAAAACCAAAACATATGATAAGTTAGTGACTGGCAGAACGGAGCCAGGATTTCAAGTCAGCACCGTGCAAAAATATATATATATATATATATATATATATATATATATATATATATATATAACAAATATAAATATAAAAATTTGAAGAGTAAAAAGAAAATTTTAGAAACCACAAAATTTAGGAGAGCATTGTATAAATTTTTTCATAAATATGGAAAAAATATAAAAAATTACTACATATACAGCAGGGCCAGGCTAGGGGCACGCGCCCCCGCACCTTCATTGGCTACTGTGATGGGTGTAGAATTCATTTATGCTATGTTCCACAGTATGGAATTGGTACATTGGAATCGAAATTGAAGGAAAATTAGTTCAAAGTTCCCAATGCACCAATTCCATGCTACCGAGTATACATTAATTGTTTCCTAGGAATACCAAAATCCCTTCTTAGCTTATTATATAAGTATCTTTAAAAGATCTTAAACTAAACTCCGAAGCTCCCGATTGAAATGACAGAACAAATGAGAAAAATTGAAACCAATTTCTCAAAACATGCTTTCCAATTCTCAAAAAATAAAATAAAGTAAAATAAAAATAAAAAACTCCCACATAATTCTAAAGCATATATCAATGATTTCCATATTAAAAAAATAAAATAAAATTACTTTCCCACATAATTCTACCTATATATGCAGTATATATTAATAATTTCCATATCCAATATTACCCATCACAAATAAGGAGCCAGAAAAGCTCCTTCAATTTGGTCCCCTATAGCTTAGAACCACAGTACTCATGCTCCTTTCTACAAATAAATTCTGCATATATATGTGTATATATCTATCATATATATAGATATGGCAATGATTTCCATATCCAATATTACCCACCACAAATAAAGAGCCTAAGCTCCTTCAATTTGGCCACCTACTCATGCTCCTTTCTACTAATTAATTCTGCTATATATATATCATACATACATACATATATATATATATATATAGATATAGATTTGCCGATACAAACATGTGTGTGTTTATACTATACAAAGGAAAGTGGTAGTTATAGATATATACCTGAAACGGGAAGAGAGAGAAGATGCTAAGGTGGGAAATCCAACGGGCTCTGCTTTGATGAAATGTGAATCAAACCCAGTTCAGCATTTTGATCTTCGGAGCTTGTTTTTCAATAAAGCTTTTGAACCAACCACCAACCGAAGTGGATGGTTGGTGACTGTAGCCTTGAAAAACAGAACTGAGAGAGACTCAGAAGTGCCTTCTCTTCACAACTCTTAACAAGTACTTAATGAGAAGTGCTTTTTATATACCTGTACAAGAGAGAGAGAGAGAGTGTTTGGTTTAGGGAACAGAAAAGCCAAGAATCGACCGACACTCATTCGCTCGAAACCCAGTAACAACCAAGAAATCCATTATTATACTCTCTATTTTCGGTGGACTTTATTCGACCCGACCCGAGCCGCTAAAGAAAGGACCGAATCTTATCGATTTACGCGCTGTTCATTAAATGAGCGACAGGTAAGTCTGTGTCTGGAGTCTAGAGAGAGAAAGTGATGGACAGTGGAGAGAGAGAAGGAAACTTATGACGTTTGAAAGAAAAAATATTCCACTATAGTAAATTGGAAAATGATAGTAATAGGACTTTCCAACCTCACAAATTTTCCTGTACTTCACATGAATTTTCTCAAACTTCCAATCAAATTTTACTTTGTTTACTATTTTTTTTTTTTTTGTTATTAATTTGATGTTGACACATATTTGAATTTAAGAAAATATTTTTGTTTCCGTTTTTGAATTTAATTGAAGTTCATTTTCAATTTCATCTCTTTTCTAATAGCTTTTCTTATTATTATAAATTGTTCTAACTTTTTATTATCTTTTATCTTGTGAACTTCTTCTTTACTGTATGTTTGATTGTTATTACAAAAAAATTAAATTTTAATCCTTCAAATTATACTCTATTCTACTATGTTTTCATTGGCAATGACAATGTTAGAAACAAAACTCAACATTCATTGCTTGAAATTTTTAAGATTGTTGAAATTTTATGTCAATACTTTAAAATTTCTTTGACAAATAAGTAAGAACATTTTAGAATTCGAAAAATTACATGAGGAGACGTTTAAACACAAAAATATATAATGGGATATCATCAAAAATTGAGTGGAAACATTTGTAAGATTTTAATAAAAATTATACCTACTGTTCTAAATAAAAAATTTCATTAGGGTCTCTTTCACCACTCATCCAATTTTATTTTATAAGATATTATATATATACAGTAATTGTCACATCAATACTGCTACTTACTTTAACTGATTTTTTTTAATTTTATTTTTACAAAAATACAACAGTATAAACTGTTCCCTTTCATATGATTAGGTTGGTGTCTAGAGAATTTATCACTTTTAAGAAGAAAAAAAAAGTTAAAAACTTTGTTGTGACGGTGCATTTTATTAGAAAAATTTTCCAAATAAATCATAAAGAAAGATGAGATAGATTGCACTGAAAGTAGTACAGAGGAGAGAGATTGAGCAGGGATGTGAGCCACACGATTGAATTGTGGCAAATTGGATGGTGGTGATTTGCTGAAGGGGGACCAAAAGTTAAGTAGTGTGCTGTGTACCACTCTCTCTCTCTCTCTTTCTGGTCAGCTGTCATATATATACATAATATGTAACGTAGTGTTGGAACTTGACCATCTAAGACAACTTACATCCATCATAACTTACCAATGCTATCTTCGGAATATGGAAGTGGTTCTGTGCTGGGCCCACACCATCTGGACACAACGTGAACTGTTTTTTTCTTCATAAAGTCAGAGAACAAACACTTTTTCTGTTTTTTCTTTTTTTACTTTATTTTTTATTTTGGTTGTCTAATAGAACACTCAATAATTTACAATTGAACACGTACAATCTTCTCATCCCTCAATGGCCCAATATTTTTCTCATATTGTTGTTTATAGATTTGTTCTTAAAAATGTACATTAAAAATGCATTGAGGAAAAATTTTATTACAATTATTTTATTTATTTATTAAATTTAGCTTTATATTATAATTTGACTCTTCCAATTAAAAATTTATGGTTCCGTCCTACCTATATGCATTTGACAATTATTCAAAAATTTCCCTTGGGGCGGCCACGAAAGGATTCGAACTCACAGGTACAGCCATGTTTAATTTTAGTGTTTAGACTCTCTTTTAATATGTTGTAAATTTTTTTAACCAACTTAAATCTATGAATACATTATTCTGAATTTTAACATATTTGTTGTAGATGTCAAAAAAATATTTATGTATTAATATTTACTTCTAGAATGAATGCGTTGAAACACGTTTTAACTGTGTTGATTTTTTTTTGAATTTCTTTATTTTAAATTTTCATATTTAAATCATGTTTAAAAACATTTGTTCTAGTTGAAATATGGAACAAATGTATTAAAAATGAATTTAACTGCATTGAACAACGTTATTACACGCTATAATAGATGGTTTCTATAGCAGATAGTCCGAACTCTTGATTTCAAGTGTGTAATTTGAAATCAACCTAATGTTGTATTTGGGAGTACCGAATTAATGTCATGGATTTAAAATTGGAGGAAATTAAATTTAAAATTTAAACTAAATTTTCTCTAATAGCAAATTCGAGATGTGGATTCTATACTCCCAAAGGTTAAATTTATTTTTTAAAAATTTAAATTGAAATAAAGTTGGTCAATTAGTTAGGTTGAGCTATAATGACTTTTTTACTTCAAAAAAAAAAAAAAAAAAAATAGGAGTTCGATTGCAAATTCTTAACCAAAATTCAACACTAAAATAATTTTCTTTAATTAGATTTTAACTTTTTATGCTAAAAGAATTTGCAATCCAACTCCTTTTTTTTTTTTTTTTTTTTGGCTTTCTTTGAAGTAAAAAAAGTCATTATAGAATCCAACTTTTGTTGACGTAGTCTGTGAAAGCCTTGATTTTTTAAACCAGTGCATCATATGATGAATCGAAGTTTGACTCAATAACGGATCCGAAATGCGGAAGCGAAAATAAAAAACAAGTCTCAAAAGATACAAAGCATCTCTAAGACGCCAAAGTGACCTTCCATGAGGCCACAGAACTCAACGAAAACAACGCAGAAGAAAAAAATTTAAAAAAAAAAAAAAAAAAAAAAGGAAGAAGAAAAAAAGCCCAAATAAGCCCCCAAGGGCAAAATAATCTTTTTATATAGAAATAACGTCTCTAGAAATGTACATCATCCCCAAGACACATCCGTGACTTCCCATAAAGTCACGGAACTCAAAAGAAAGCATAGCAGAAGTAATTTAAAAAGGAAAACCGGACAAGTTTAACCCCAAGGGCAAAATGGTAAATTTTAGCAAGATTTTGGGTGCTACCAAGCATTCCATTGGATAGATAAAAAAAAAAAAAAAATTGATCTCATTCGAAGTCCGGACGAAGGAGAATGGACCCGGAGAAAAAACGGCGTCGTGGCAACCCAAGGCACCAGACCAGCAAGCCCATGCGTGCTCACCAATGCACACCCACCCGCACGCGCCCATGCACGCTCACGCGCGCGCTGTGCATGCGGCAAGGCAATGCTGACAGCGACTAAATTTTCTGATTTTTCCAAAACTGAGAGCAATTTTGGACCCTTAAACGATTTTTTTTGCAAAAACACAAAGAAGAAACCCTCCTTAAAATCAAGTTTTCTACCTGACTATATCGAAAGAAAATTTTAAATGTATTGTGAAATACCCAGAATGCCCCTGGATCAGTTTAGGTCATAAAAGATGAAAATGCAACTTTGTACCAAGTATTCATTTGGCCCTAAATGCATTTCTAGGCTAAAATGATTATGCACGCAAAAGTATTTAGTGATTTTAAATCCGCGGGAATGACCCGTGGGACCCATAAATGCTCGATACAAAATTTGACCTATTAAAACTTAAAAATGCTTAAAAATGGACTTTAAAATGAAAATTTGAAACTCAAAATTACAAAATGGTTTCAAATGACCGTTTCGCCGTTGACCACACTTCATGCATAATTGAAGAGACCCTATGGAAGTGTTAAAACCCACTTCCCACCACCCATGTAAATGTAATGGAGTTAAAGTATTGCATTTTTCTATTTTTCCATAAAATAGACTAGAAAGTAAAAGTACTTAAAATGTAAAATAAATGTCCACGACCTATAGCCTCATCTCATACAGGTCAAATACATCATAAAAAGTGTACTTATGTATACATTACATATTTAGAACCAAATATACAAGTTTTGACATATAAAGTTATAAATAAGATTTCATGCTAACATTTGCATGAATCGTGAACTTCAAATCTACAAATCATCCTAAGCATAATGTGAATATCGGATCTTGATTTCTGTACCTGAAAAATGTCCCCACTATGTGGGTGAGTAACATAAAGCTACTCGTAAGAGATGAGCATGCATAGGCCTAACGTTTTACTGTTTTATTAAGTTAATATAAACCAACTCATACGGTTCATGCCACCTAACGTCTATATCCATGGTGAGACTCAAGGAATATTCTAAGCTACCTCAAAGCATTTATAGCATAAACCACATCATTCATGCAATTAAACAACATAGGAGCATATAGTGTAAAGCAACAAGATATAGGTATTTAAAGTTATCAACTTGGAACCTAAAATACGAAAATAACCGAAACGGTTCATGCCACCTAACGTCTATGTTCTAAATGAGTATAAGGAATCATCCCAGGCTACATTCAACAATTAAAACACAAATTTCAATTTCAATGCAATTTAACAAACCTTGGAACTTCCAATGCAACGCAACCAAATATAGATTATCAAAGTTATCCATTTGAAACCTAAAGTGTGTAAACAACTAAATATTACTATTTAGTAAAAGTAGAACTTCTAGTACAATGCATCAAGACATAAATTATCAAATTAAACCATTTGAAATCTAAAATGCGGAAAACAACTAAATATAACAATTTAGTATCATTAGAACATCTAATACAATGCATCAAGACATAAATTATCAAAGTTATCAACTTGAAATCTAAAATGCGAAAATAACAAGTTATCACAATTTAGTGTCATTAACTTGTAATCAAAAGCGAAATCAACAAAGGTGGATCCTCGGATATCAATCGGATCAGACCGACACAGGGCTACTAACCCATGGGCAGCCTACCCTACGTGCGCACTAGACTCATAAGAGGAACTCTCATCCCCCGTACTAGAACCATGTCTTAGCCGTAGTCAAACAAATGATATCCTAAGTTTCCAAAATCAAGAAGTTGTGCAACCACATATATATCATCATATATATATACAAGATAAAAGTTATCTA